ATTGTTTCTTGATGATATAAACTATAAACTGCACACACATCACACGCATATATATATATATATATATATACATATATATATATAGAGAGAGTCCTCCAAAGACAGACTGATCCGCAATCGAGCTAGGCGTCCGATTGCTTCAAGCCTGGATTGAACCCCAACTGATCTGACATCAGTCAGATCTCTTATCTCTAGAGTATATTTGTTCTCTGAGCACGTCTTACAAGAGGTGTTGTAAGTAAAATTAGGAACAAACAATAGGGAGGGAACGGGTTGGCCCGGCACCGCCTACTTCCGGAAGAAACAAAACTCCTCAGCTTCAAGACACCACTGATCTTTGCACTCAATTATTCAAACACCGCCTCGTTGTTTGCTACGCACAATCTCCCGAGTGGTCTCCCGCCGTCACATTTATGCCAGCGAACACCAACCAATTTGCATACGGCCAAGTTCACCTCTCGCCAATCCTCGCAGCTACGAGATCGGCGGTGTTTCTTCCTTCATATCAATTACTGCCCTGCACGCCAGACACAAACGAACCCTCTTATGTCGAGAGCCAAGGCTAAGTCTCACTTTCATGTCCACAGGTGTCTACAGGGTGTTTATTTTGAACACAATTCTAGACCTGCTGGTAATACGAAGACGCAGGTAGTTCATGCATGATGGGGCTGCAGCACATTTTAGTCACATTGTTTGCGACGTACTGGCTGACATCTACTCATGAAAGTTGGTTAGGTATGAGGAGGCCTCGTTCCATGGCCTGTACGTTCCCTTGACCTCAAATCCTTTGGGGTTTTATCTGTGGGGCCACCTAAAAAATTGTTTTGCGAATAAGACATTAATAATATAGCGACGCTTCATCAAGGTGTCATGGGAGCTTGCGAAACCATTATGAGAGTATTTGAAAGGGTCCGCCAGTCAATGATCCGACGGGTACATGCGTGCGTCGAAACAAGCGGAGGATATTTTGAACATTTGTCATGAGTTGCTGTTTTGAAGCACATCGATGGCATTTTGGACATATATCTATATGAACATTTACTGTGTGTGTGTGTGTGTGTGTGTGTGTGTGTGTGTTCAAGTAAATATTATCTATCTAATTACTGTACATGTCTCTCCACATCTTCCTCTTTTTTAAAGATATTAATAATGTTATTCTTTTTGCTCTCTGGACTTATCCAACCAATTACACAATTAGTTAGGTTATTGATTGCATTCCTCCGTCCATGTTGCCTTCAGTATGACCTGTGAGTATCAAATTCTCCGAGCACTCTTTTCTCATTATGTTTCACTTTTCACTAAATCTTCGTCGAGACACACAAGTAATTATTCTATAGAAGTTAAATTATACAGAATATCTCAATGTATTTTAAAGCTTCGGGGACATATGGATCAAAAATGAATTGTGACATAATTTCTGTATTCAATCTCTCTCTCTCTCTCTATATATATATATATATATATATGTGTGTGTGTGTGTTATTTATATATATATATATATATATATATATATATATATATATATATATATATATATATATATATAAAATATATATTGAATGATTAGAATATTGCTGTTGTTCTGTTATCTATATAGCGATACTTTAGGAAATACAAAGAATTATCTGCAATGTTCTTGGGCCTGACCTGGCATCTCTACTTCATATTTTCGCCGCCGTAACGTAGCAATCCTGTGCCTTTTATATAAATATATTCATGGTAATTGTTCTTTTTTCTGTAGACTTTACGAATTTAAGCGCAGTAATGGCTAGATGTAAGTTCTATGCTAGCAGTTTCTTCCCTCGCACTTGTTGATCTCTCCTCCGGCTTCTTGCTTTTCTCACATCAAAAATGTAAATGCAATGCCAATATCCCTTCACACTCGGTAGCCCCTTGCATCTTAGTGGCTTTATTATCTTGCTTGTAGTGAAATGGTGATATATATATATATATATATATATATATGTGTGTGTGTGTGTGTGCATGTGTCTGTGTGTGTATGAATCCAACTTCTCCTTCCTCAGCTATGCGTTAATGAGCAATACTTTTATCATGAAACCATTATCTCAAACAAACAATAAATAAATAAATAAATAAAATTACCTAAAAAATAATTAGATTTCGGCATTAAATAACCCATAGAGGTTAATATGCCGCTAAAACAAAAAAAAAAAAAACATCATAAAAATAATAGACGCGGTCTGTCTGTTTAATTTCTATTCAATGTTTTCGACCGCCTCAGTCATTTTCAAGAATAAGTGGAGCGTCTGTATCGTAGGCAGTTATTTTGTCTACATATATGTTATTGTTTGGAAAGGTGAAAGTTTGAAATAGTCCCCACTGTCGTCATGTGGTGCGATTCGCTTTGTACGGAAACCTAACAACGGATGAACTTTACCTTTACACTTTTAATTATATATATATATATATATATATATATATATATATATATATATATATATATATATATATTACAATTTTTTTTGTCTATGTGTATGAATATATAACTAGTCAGTTAGTCCAAATGCCTTCACTTGCTTTATAGTCCACCATTAGAAGTTTAACCAATCAGAAGCCGCAGAACATTGTATCCGTCGTGTATAAAGGCGGCCATCTTTGTTTATCCTACCGGAATGACCAGTGCCAACTTGTCAGGCGAAGATGACAGAAGAAAGAAGTACGCTCTGCTACTTTGCTGCGATATCCACTGCTAACTTGAACTACGCTTTCCTACTGTCTCCGAAATATTCACTGCTAACCTCTGGATTCTATACTCGAAGACGACCGTCATGAATTTATAACAATATATATATATATATATATATATATATATATACAGTGTAACCCGGATATAAGAGAGTTGTCGGGACCGAGAAGTAGTCTCTTATATCCGGGTTATTCTTATATCCGGGTTTGGTCTATGTTTTTTAGGTAAGTATTGGAACATTTTGGGACCAGAAAATCTCTCTTATATATCTTAAATCTCTCATATATATATGTGTGTGTGTGTGTATATATATATATATATATATATATATATATATATATATATATATATATATGAATAGCTGGACACTCGTATTTGAGGATACCCATCTACTAGGACGGCTAGACAATCCCTATTGCAGACGCTCGCTCAGGAAAATTTTGTGGTTGCTCAACACACACGGAGCCCACC